CGAAAGGAACACAATGTGTACCAAATTTCGAACTTGGTTTTTGCCTAAATTACTTCTTTCATCATTCAGACCCAGCACCTGCATAAGATTAAGCGTCACTTTGCTTGAGCCCAGGCTTTGCAACCTTATCTTTGGTTACAATTCTGCCGATTGAAGCTGATTGTAAAAACCCATGCTTAAAATGTTACATCAGTTGTAGCTTTCCCTTCTTAACATCAAGTTTTTATTGCACCGGAAATGTCTGCTATCATCGTGAGTGAATAGCAAGAGCTGCCGAATTATATGGGCGCCCACACATGGAACTACACCAATATATACAAGGTGGTCCACATGAAATGTAACGCAAGAGAGAAATTCACAGATTTGCAATGATTAAATCATTATGTGCTTGTTGCAACGGAGTTTCCCAAATTTCGGATATCTAAGTCTAAGTTATTTTCGGATTAGGACAAAGCACTATGCAGTTTTCGCAACTGGGTCTTCTGATTGTGAATGTTAGTCTTTTACATCCTTTTTTGTGTCCATATGCCAGCTTTACACACTTTGTATGTTTATGCTAAGCACTGAGGTGATATCTTAGGTTCCAATAGTTCAGATTTGCGAGGGTGCAAAAGTCGCAATCGGCACATTTGTCATGATTTTTTGAAGACTTCACAAGAAAAATTCTCAAGCTTTATGCTCTGCAACTGATTTCTATGGTAATGTTTCTAGAAAGCTTCGAGCGATTGCAAGTATTTATGACAACAACAGATAGTATTCGCCTAGGCGGCGAGATCAGCGTTACTGTTTACTAGCACTATACGGTAGCTCATTAGCGTTATCTGACAATAGCTGATATATTTCCAAAACAATGTGAGCAGTATAGAAGGCAGCATCTGACTTGGTAACTATATTGTCATTTATATCACATCTGGGACCCATTCTACCAGGCAACGACGCATCTCTTGAGAGTATCATTACAGTTCTCCTGTGTCCCACTTCATATTCTTAATGATTGTAGCAACTGAAAATGAGTGGAAGATAACTGCAAGAGTTTTAGAAGTCTTAATTCGGTATATTCAGTGGATCCGAAAATTGGAATGTCAGAATCGCTGAAAATATCTTGGAAGTACTCCGTAGCATTAATACAAAATTTCAGAGGATACTTGAAAGTGCTACGTTCTTTTTCCATATGTGAAAAGTTTGTAGTGTAGCATTTCGTAATCTATCCTTTGTTTCAGGACCGATTTGGAGAAGGACCGAGATCTCCATATGGTCAATCATCGGAATTACGACGAGTTTGATTGTCTTTTCGGTATTCCTACTACGAACCCTCATCATATGTGAGCATCAGCATCATTTCAAACTTCCTAGCTAGTAGCTTCAACGAAAAATGCATTTTATTTTTCATAGGCTCTTCAGAGACCATTTTTTCTCATTGCACACTGACCAACACTTTTCGCAGAAAAAGGATTTTCTTGATTTCTCGGAAAGTATACAATGAATCAGCATAGTATGAATCCTCACCTAATTTATGAATTTGTAAATTTTATTTGAATTTCGTCGATTAGTATTATTTGTCTCTGATAAGAATGACCGTTGTGCTCATGTTGAATTGCATGACAAGCAGACACTACAACTCAGTAAGAAAAATTGCGCGGAGAGCAGTGTCCTTAAGTGCAATCATTTAACAAATGTAGATCAAACTTTGTCGAATTCCGTCCAAACTTATATTCCTCAACAAGCCCATTAGAAATTGTTGGGCACGATTAGCATATCGGCCGCGCAGCTGTCCGTATATTTCAAGTCACTCTCACTGACAAACTGCGTGCCAAATTAGCATACCAGCGATATGCATCACACATACACATCGTGAGTATGGATGTCGAGAACTGATGGCGGAGTGCTGACAGAAACATGGTTGGATGCGCAAGCTCCACTTTTTCTTTCGTAAAAGAGACTGAGAGAGCTGGAGAGTCTAATCCCAAGCGTCACAAAGTCCGAAAAATTACATGGTGCACAAATAAGTAATAAAGTGTAAGCTGTGAAGAATCTTATTTTGGTTGTATTAAAATTGTAACCTGAATGCGAAGCAAATCCCGCGCTTGTGACTCGATTTAGCATGCTTCTGGAAAAACGGCACTAGCCTGCATGTGAAATCACAAATAGTGCTTTAATCCAGTGGTTAGTTGATTAAAGCGGCTTGTGCCTCCGTAATTGGGACATCGATTGGCCCCAAGTGTAGTACGGTAGCATCTCGTATTATGATTCGTCCATCGTGCCGGGGGCGGAGCCGAGGCAATTGAAGCGGATTGAGCTCTAATGAAGGCACCTCCCGAGGGGCCAGCCATGTTCTTCTCTGACGGCTCCACCTTGCTACGATCTATGAAAGATGAAAGTCTTCGAGCCACGTGGGCACCATCGCTCATTGACCCATCACCGGCCAGGTAACGTGCTTTATCGAAAAGAGGTACGAAAAAGACCCAAGTCTCGTTTCTGTGCTGTCGCTACAAGGTCAGTACCTGTGGCGACCTCCCAAGATGTCGTTCGAGTCCTTCTAGGCTGGAAATGTGCTGTGGCTGACATGAAATGCACATTTAATCTGCAAGCAAGTTGCTATGCCTCCCTCGCGGTTTCAGTCCCCAGGTCCCTGTGCAGCGGCGAGAACCGAACACACCCATAATGAGTTCGGTTCACGGAAGCCGTACGCTCTTTTCCATGCTCCTACACCTCTTCGTGCATCTGCTCACCTGAAAAGTATATGCTTGCTTGCCTTAAAGCACACCTCAAGTTTGAAACCTCTTAAATCCACTAATTCATCCACTAATTCCTAGCCAAAGCTATATTTTACATTAACCTGAACAATTTCAGCGCACAGCTTGCTCGTGCACATTTCGAGAAGCATCCACCGAACAATCTGCGCAAGTCAAACTTCTTCCACTTTGTCGTCGCCCTCTATGATCGTGCAAGTCAACCTATCGAAATCGAAAGGACACAATTTGCTGGTTTTGTGGAAAAGGACAGAGAAATCGACGGTCAAGACACGAAAAATGGAATTCACTACAAGCTATATGTGCTATTCCAAAATGGTAAGGGTTTG